GGTATACAGACAGGGTTATCATAGACATTGGATGACCTATTCTTATTATTACTATACACTTACCTGAAGGAAGGTCACATCCATATATCTCTACTCGCATGCACGCAGGACTAAGACCTGAAAATCCTCCTTGTTTTTGTGGTAATATTCTTAATCTCCTTGCGATAACAGGATTCCTCAATTTGTTTTTTACCACAGATCCCTTGTCTCTGTTTCCGATGAAAATCTAATGAAAAAATAAAAGAAAACTTCTTCTCGTTTTTCATTTTCGCCTGCAGAGAGCTATAACTAAGAAAGAGAACAAGAGAGACAGAGGATCAGCTTATTCTTACAGGGGATGTACTCGGGGGGTAACATGACGCGGAGGTCCAACGTAATTTTTTGGGTTGACAATTTTCGTTCTCGGGTTTTTTTGGGTCAAGAGATCTACCACGTATTTTTTTAGGTCTCAAAAAGAAATAGTCGTCCTCGAAACCGTTTTTAATGTCGGTCGTCACACAACGAGGGGAGGGAGCGTTGCGTGACGACCGACACTAAAAACGGATGCGAGGGAGACTGAAAAAGAAAGAAAACCGTATTTTTTTGGGTTGTCACATATCCAAGTTCAATTTTTGTTTCGATCCGTGTATCAGAAAATTATTCGTTTGAATTTTTTTTTTAGCAAGGCGTGAGTTCCATAAAGGAACATACTGATAACAATAATTAGAAGACAACACAGCGTAATTGTAATATTTGAGGTATTTAAGTGTTGTATTTTTTTGGGTCCGAAATTTGGATGCCATGTATTTTTTTTTGGGCGTAAAATTTCAGGTTTTGAGTATTTTTTGGGGGTTGCAATATGAAGCTCCGTCGGACTCCCACCCCCCGTCATTTTACCCCCCGAGTACATCTCCTTGGTTCTTACAGCAGCTAAAGAGAAATTCACACACCGTGAAAGGGATTTACGTCGCCCCGTACAAAGAATATGGTAAAGTAAAATACACAGAGTCGGTTTTTCGCGGTATAAATATTGCGGCAAAAATTGCAAGCTCAATATCTTTATAATAAATGTCCACTTGCATTATTTATATTAAGAGCAGTACTGTGGTTTGATTGCCAGAGGTCGCGCAGAATAAGCAAACTTCTAGAATAACTTTTAGATCTTTATAATCTGTAGGTCGAAACGCTATTTACAGAGCAATCGATCGCGTACTATATAAGATATTTTAAGAGGGAATAATAATATGTCTCTACCTTATCTAGGCCATCTTCTCTGTAAATGTTAAATGATGATCCTGCCAGGTTACTTGTCACAGTATAATTCTCCACCCATTTGTTATTATACGTACTTCCCTGTGTAGCTAGGCCTGTTATCCTGTAGGGTTTACCAAAGTCAATCTGAAGGTACGGATTACGCGCCGTTCCTGAGCACCAGGCATATCGGTCGTTCAATCGTCCATCTTTTGCATGGTATCTATAACGTGTTGATGATGCTCGAATGTTACCATCAGGAATCTTCCTATCCTCCATTCCAAGAGCTGATCCACATTCTGTACACATAATATATAAACAACATATCTTTTTACCTTGTATTTAGTTTTATTTTTACTGTCAAATCGTAATCAACATGAGGGCAGCAAGGGTAGACACCCGTCTCTCTAGATATGCTCTGGGGTTTCGAGATTGATTCCTGGACTCGGCTACCTTGGGTGCCCCACACGGGCCTCAGGCACCCAGGTTAGGACTCGGCATCACATGTGAGTCAGAGTTTGGTATGTCACTCATCTCGGTTCAACACTCGATTATATTTAGGCCCCGTCCACAATATGCCGGATAAATTTGAATCCGAATTGTTATTTATTCGGTTAGGCCTACCGTCCACACTTGTCCTGGCCAATCCGGAACAATTCTTCACCGAAAACGAATTTTCTCGAATACGGTCTCCAGAATGGAACAAGTTAAAAACGCCGGCTAGCCGTATTAGTGTGGACGGAGAAAATTTCGTATCCGAAATTTTTCGGATACGATGACGTCATGATTGTCATGGGAACATGGCGGGAAGGCTAAAAATTCACCGCGTGCTCAATTTCAGCTTCGATGCACATGCTCAGATGTGCAATGAAGCGTTTTTGCCGCCTCTGATCGGACTAGTGTGGACGCGAAACATTTTATCCGTTTTCATGTGTGGACGGAAAACTTTTTTTCCGGTTTCGGTGTCAAAGTTGCGGATTCAAATTTATTCGGTATAGTGTGGACGGGGTCTTAATTTAATAAACACACCTTTATCATCAATAATCAGTTTTCGGGTTTTTATCGTAATAAATTAACCGACGCGGGATGTTGGGAGAGCCTTTGCTATATATCGTAAATTACCATTTCTGACGATAATGGCAATGGTCAAGAGAATCTCATATAAATGGTATAATACTGGCATACAGCCATGTTAACTTGATGAGTGCATTGATAGTTCTAGGGAAAGAAGCCAAGGTAGAAAAAAAGTCAAGAATGGGAATGCGTATATTGGCAAATGACAATTTAAATCTCTCAAAAATTCAAAGCAAATTTAATGAAAATCAAATAATATTATAAAGCGCAAGGCATTAGTTACATTAATAATATGGCTAATAATAATATTTTTAATATAATGCTTGTAATAGGTATCTTACCCATGCACTCTGGTGTTGTATGATCCCAGTTTCCATTATTACATGTGATAGTCTGAGAACCCTCGATGTTCCATCCTCTTCGACACGAGAATCTTACTCTAGCATTATGTAAGAACGAGTGGTCAAGACGATGGCCATTTTTAGGTATACCAGGATCTCTACAGGGAGCTAAGAAAAGAAAGATTGAAAAGAATTATCGATCATAAGAAGAATAGGGATTGTTTAAGCAAATTGGCCTAAGTCGAGTCTTTATCCAGATGATGGCCAAAGCGAATAATTTTTTTTACCACAAAAGTAAATTTTTTCTCGTTTCTGATTGGTCAGAAGCAGTGGTAAATACGAGGACAGACCAACATAATGATTACGTCAACAAATTAAGTCAAAAAAATTACGAACGTTTCGTAATGCCTCGTGGGTACATAACATTTTGACCAACTGTTGCCTTCATATCGTGGTAAATAAGAGCACATGCCACTCTAAACCATCAGAAATTTGTTGAATTGCAAGAGGCCAAGATTGATCTTCTAACGACACAATGATCATTCAAGCAAATAATATAAATGGGAGAAACATTCTATTAAATTTTAGGACAATTTTTCTGCAACAAACATATGTTTCTTTTGTCGCAAGCCGTTTTCGCCGATGAAATGACAGCTATCAAAATAAATGTGGAGGAGGAAAACGGTACTTTAATTAAATAGTTGGAATGAGTAATAATGAGTTTGAAGTTTCTCAGGGGAGGATCCAGGGTTGTCCTGTCTTACCCAAGCATCTTGGTACATTTCCTGACCATCTTTTATCATGTTGGCAAGTAATGGCAGGAACTCCTCTCAGCGTATAGTTTGTCTTACACTGGAACCGTATACTGTTTTTGAACACGTATTTGTTTTGGTCTGGATATCTGCCACCATTTACAAGTTTACCTGGGTCCCTGCACTCAACAGCTAAGAAATGAAAACAAAATAGATTATCCAGACAAACTTGTTATCATGAACTCAAGTTAAACAAGGTAGTTTTAACGGTGGTACACGGCTTTCTTCTCGACTCCATGGGGTCTTTATTTAAACTTTCCTGGGATTCACATGTCAGTGGACTCATTAAGTGTCACCCTCAGTAATTGTTTCGAAATTGTTTTCCTGGGTTCAATCAGCCCAGAAGTTGTTTCAGAGTTCAATCTGTGAGTTAGCTGTGGCCTGACTTAGATCAGTCCAGAGATTGTTTCAGATTTCGATCTGTGCCATGCCCTGACTTAGATCAGCCAAGAGGTTGTTTCAGCTCTCGATAAAAAATATTCAGGTTGCTTTGGATGCCCTAATGTTATCCAAAGATTGACATACAGTTTCACAAACATTTCTATTCAACCAAGAATATTTAACAATCTATTGTAAAACAGGTCAAGTTAAAAAAATTAACAAAACAAAAAAGTCTGGATGCTTTTTCGACTCTTCATATTGCATATTTCAAAATACGTACGTCTACACGTTGGTTGCTTGTTCTCCCATGTTCCATTCAGACATCTTACATTTCCTCGTCCAACAAGATTATATCCTCTATAGCAGTAGTAACTGATGCTGTACTTGTGTCTGTAACTAATATATGAACCTCGAATTCCTCCATTGACAGGATACTTATTCGGCCTCAAACATGCCTCTGTGTGATAACAACAAGCGAATCCAGTTACGTTCATTTAATAGCAGTTATCATCAATATACAAGGCCAAACAACAAACTGCCCTCTTGAAAACGCTCACCCAGCGGGCGATAATGGATTTTGGTGTGCCGCAAATACGTTTGCTTCTGCTAAAGATTCAACTCCAAAAATCTCGTACGGCAACTTTGAAAATTTGCTTAACTTGGCCTAGTATATTGATGATAATAGGCTACGCTCGGGCGCAAATAATGCTACTCGGGCCACAAATAAACAATATGCCCTCCAAAAGTCATGCTATTGTCCTATTACATAATGCTCATGTCGAGTGTTAGTTTATACAAAGCAAAGCTGCATAAGGAAAAAGACTTCTTTTACTTTATATAAGTAATGTACTAAAAACAAAACAAAACAAAACAAAACAAAACAAACAAAACAAAAACAAAAAAAACAAAAAAAACAACAAAAACAAAACAAAAATAAAAATAAATAAATAAAAAAAGCAAATAAAGAAATTAAAATTAAAGTTTTTTCCCTCCGGTTTCCTTTCTCCTTTCCGTGATTTAATAAGTGATTTCATAAGTGTTGTATCAGGGGCGGATCCAGGGGTGGTATAGGGGGGTGACTAGTCAACCCCCTTTTGCTCAAATATCTCAGTACATAGTTAGCAACAGTTACCACCCTTTTTCTCGAATTCGAAAACCTTCGTAATAGTCACTCCCATCTAAAATTCCTGTATCCGCCCCTGCTGTATGTCGTAAATATAGAATGTAGTGGACGTAGTGCGTATGGAGGGAACCTTAGGGAAGAGCCCAGAATGGGGAGTAGTGGTTGTAAAATATGTTTTTTATATAATGATAATGCATAACGGAAGTAATAACTGAAGCTGCTCTACTTTTGTTGCAGCATATCATTGTATTTTTACACATTGCTGTTCAGCAAAACGTACTGATAACTTAGAATAATCAGTAACGTAGTTAAAACACTGCCAACACAAAAGAAATTGTATAAAGCAAACAAATCTCACTATTGCATGTTGGTGAATCGTGATCCCATCGTCCATCGGTACATCTTATTGTATGTGAACCATCCATTGTCCATCCTGAGTTACAACTAAACCGAACGATGCTGTTGTGTAGAAATGAATGTTGGTATCGATGTCCACCAATTGGTATGCCAGGATCTCTGCAGGGAGCTGAATGGACCAAAAAAAAAGATTAAGACAACGTACTTTAGCATAAATATGTAAAAATACTAAAGGATAACGATTGGTATGTTGCAAAAAATTATATTGCAATTATAATGGAAATATGTTTGAAGTTGTGAAAGGCTTGTATGGCACTCTTCT